ACATCTAGATAGCTAGGTGAATTGCTGAAAACAAATTTAAAAGGTGAAGGATTTGGAATTGTAGCTTACTTAAAGCTTACCATTATCCTGACACTGTTTCATGGAAACAGGCAGAAGACACAAGATTCCTGCATCATAAACAAAAGACTTTATTACTCACAGAACAGCAAGAAGAATGCACATCAAAATATTTGCCTAAGTTCCTTATGCCTAAATCCCACAGGGCCCATGCCTACCCATACAGTGGGTTGCAACTCAGGCAAAGGGCCGAGCACTTTTTGAGCAAGCAGCAAATTCAGTTTCCCTCCCCCTCCTTAGGCAGAGAGCAGGGACACAGTACCACTCTATGGTCACCTTGACCAGCTAGTGACTATATGACTAGCTACAGAAATGGTTCAGTGTCAGAAGATGAATAAAGCTTGTAATCTGTCACGCTTAGCAAGAATATGCATGTTTTAGTTCATTTTACATTGCTATAATGGAATACCTGAGACTGGGTAATTGATTTTAAAAAGAAGTTTATTTAGCTCATGGTTCTGGAAACTGGGAAATTTAAGACTGGGAAGCCACATCCGACAAGGACCTCACGTTGCATCATAACATAGCAGATGGCATCACATGGCAGGAGCACACGTGACAACGGCAAGCGGGCGTGTGCAAAAGAGACAAAACATGAAAGGAAACCTTACTTTATAACCACCTGCTCTCTCAGTAATTAATCCAGTTCTGCAAGAGACAGAACTCACTCCCACAATATGGCACTAATCCTTTCATAAGAGCAGATCTTTCATGACTCAAATACCTTTTAAAGTCTTTCCACCTCTCAACTTGTTACACTGGGGACCAAGCCTCAACATGAGTTTTGGTGGGGACAAACCATATTCAAACCACAGCAATGCAAGAACAAATAGGAACCAAAGGACTGCCTTTTGCAACCAAAACCAAAGAGAGAACTGAGCTACAGTGGAGCAAAGTTGCCATATTGTATCACAAGTAAACCACCATTAACCTGAAGTGGATTTTAAGTTAAAGTTATGAAGTTCAAGAAACAGAAAAATCCCTAGAGTAACCACTGAAAAATGAACTTTAAAAATATACTTAAAAATGAGCTGGGTACAGTGGTTCATACCTGCAATACCAACACTTTGGGATGCCAAGGCATGAGGATTGCTAGAGACCAAGACTTTGAGACCAGCATGGGCCACATAGTGGGACACCGACTGCACAAAATTCTTTAAAATTAGCTGGATGTGGTGTCACGCACCTGTAGTCCCAGCTACTCAGGAGGCTGAGGTGGAAGGATCACTTGAGCCTGGGAGGTCAAGGCTGTAGTGATCCATGATCACACCACTGCATTTCAGCCGGAGTGACAGAATGAAACCCTGTCTCAAACAAGCAAACAAAAATACAAATGAGCAGTTGTCAGGGGATGAGGGAGAGGGAAATGGGAGTGACTGCTTATAGATACAGGATTTCTTTTGGGAGTGATTAAAATGTTCTGAAATTAGATAATGACTCTATAAATATATTGAAAATCACTGAATTGTACACTTTAAAGGGGTGAATTTAATGGTATGTGAATTATATCTCACTAAATGAATTAAAATATTGATTTAACACAAAAGAAGGCAATAAAAGGGGAACAGAGGAAAAACAATAAGCAAGACATATAGAAAACAAATAGCAAAATAGACAAATCCAAACATACCAATAACTACATTGAATGTGAATGAACTACCGTTCAATCAAAAGACAAAAATTGTCAGGATGTATTTAAAAAAAACAACAACAACAAGATCTAACTACATATTGCCTAAAAGAAACACAGTTTAGATTCAAATATACTGTAGGTTGAATAGCATGCATAAATAGCTGCTATGAAAGACCTGGAATGGCTATATGATATCAGACGAAATAGACTTTATGATAAGGCACATTAAGACAAGGAAGGACATCTAATCATAATAAAAAGGACATCTAATCATAATAAAAAATCTAATCATAATAAAAACATCTGGAAAATATAACAATTATAAACATATAACACCTAACCACAGATCCCAAAAATACATGAAGCAAATACTGACAGAATTGAAAGGAGAGACAAGAGGGTATGTCTCAGTTAACTGAAATGACTCCTGATTAAGTAACGTTCACAAAAAATAAATATTGTTATAGTGAAGTTCCAAGAGAAATCAAAAAGGCATAACAAGAATCATTGCATAAGCCTTTTATTTAAACAAGTTTATAACATTTCCAGATTCCAGGGATAACCGAGGAGAATAACTGTCTCCAATGAAAACTTAACGATTCTTTTCATTCCTGTCGTCCTTTTGCGAAACAATTCCAAGACTTACTGAAACAGTAAGATAGTACCCAGAATGTACATTCTCACAAGGTGTAAGAAAGCAGACCTGAAAATGCTATTTTGATAATATGTGGGCTAATCTTATTCTTAAACTGTTGTTGCTGCTGCTGTTGTAGTTTTATAAACACTGCATATTCTAAAAAAAATTTTTTGAAATTCTGTTTGAAAAATAAATAAATGATAAATATATTCCTTCCATGAAGTAAAGTAATGCACAAATGAATAAATAAATGATAGCATTTGTGCAAAGGTTAAGAGGTTGTAAACTGATTTAGTTTCACCTCTGTTTGGTATAATACATAATATCATAAAGTGTTATAAGCTATTCTATTTTTCAATATAATCTTAAACTCGTGAAAAAATTAGCTTCTTTACTGCTAGACTGCATGTTGGCAACAAACACATGGTTTAGTAGACAAAATAATACATTTATTAAGGCACCATGCCTCCAAAAGAGAACAGTGGTTAGTTACAATCCAAAACTGAGACCTGAAAAGAAGTAATGTATTACTGATTACATAAGAAAAATAACTGGTAAATTAAGTTTTCAAACTTTAACCTTTATTTATTTATTTATTTATTTATTTATGTAAATTTTATTTTTATTCCTTTTTCGAGACAGGGTCTCATTCTATTGCCCAAGCTGCAGTAGTAGTGGCGCAATCATAGTTCACTGTAGCCTTGTCCTCTCAGGCTCAAGGGATTCTCCCACCTCAGCCTCCCAAGTAGCCAGGACCACAGGCCCATGCCACCACCACATCTGGCTAATTTTTGTATTTTTTGTAGAGATGGGGTTTCATCATGCTGCCCAGGCTGGTCTTGAACTCCTGAGCTCAAGCAATCTGCCCACCTCCACCTCCCAAAGTGCTGGGATTACAGGAGTGAGCCATCATGCCCAGGCCTCAAACTTTAACTTAAGAAAAATGTAGATGTCATTTCTGTGATAATGGAGCAATTATTCTAGACTGTAAATAAATAAATAAAATAGAGACTAAATACACTTTGATCTGTACAAAAATTTGCCAAAATTTTTGCTGTAACTACTTATGCCAAAATAGCTGTAACTATTTAAATTGATGAATAGATGGATGGCTATATGGATGGATATAAAAATAGTTGATAGATTTTTTTCCTTTCTGCTGCTGCTTCATGGTAGAGCTAACCCACCTCTAGTCTCTTACTCCAGCTGCAGTGGATATCCTGTCTACCTTTTTTGTGGACATTTGTCCATCAATAACAAATGGGCACCCCAAAAGTCAAGAGTCACACAAATATTAAACCAAGTTTTATAAATGTTTGTGCTATTGAGTTAAAGAGCTTACATGTACTATAGGGACTGATTCTCTGACAAGGAATCAAACCCAGGCCACAGGTGTGAAAGCAGAGAATCTTAGCCACTATACCACAAGATGGAATGCCTTCTTTGTAAATCCCACAGGGAATTCAAAGCAGGCAGTTTGAGTGTACAAATGATTTTAATTTTGTTTGGGGTTAGATTTTTGCATTTTAATTTTGTCAAGAGAATTTCTAAGCCAAGACACTATTGTGTCTTTCTTTAATTTGATTGTCCCATAAATACAAGTAAGACAATTATTTAGAATGAGAGATCTCTAAAATCTTCTTTTAAAAAGAAAATTAAGGTTCTTTCTAATTTAAAGGATCCATCTTTTGGCCACTGATGATTAGAATTTCCAATGGTTTACAAATTTCAGTAGCGACTCAACAATAAGCCTCTTTACGGAAAGTCCAGGAGATAATTTTCCAGGTTTAGAATAAGTTTTTACTATATAAACAAGAGGTGTTCCTTGACAGCATATAGAGGAGACACTCTCCATGATCCCCAAAAATTCACTCAGAAGTAGACTTAAGATAACAAAGACTCTTGTTGCCACAGACTATTAAGGCTGGTGTTTGTGCATATGGTGCCACTAGTAACCCACAAATTTGCCAGGGGCCACCAGTCACAGACCTGTTAATCCACTGGCACCAGGGAGGCCCTCCTGGGATTGGAATTTTCCCAGCCTAACCAGGCAACAGGAGCCCCTTATAGATGGAAATTATTAAGACAAACTCCCCCGAGAGCTTGACATATTTGGAACAAAAAGTATACTGCTTAAAATCTTACGTGACCAGCCATTTTTAGACTGGTCACCTAATGTGACCTGAAAATCACGCTCCCCAAAAGGGCAGGGACCAAGAGAAAATGCTCTCAAAAGTCAAGGTCTTCATACGGACATGAAACAGGACAATAGGAGAACTTCATCTGGTTTTTATTTTGCGGACTACAGCAAGGTTTATAGACAGAACTGCAAAACTGATCAATCTGCAGTGCCAGCTCAAACAGTTTATGGGGGTTTAGGCCCATGTTCTACCCTGTGGCATCCTTCGTTATGACAGCACAACACGGAAAGACAAAGACTATTTCTGGAAGGAAAGGGACCGAACAATGTGAATATTCATACCAAAAAAGGACACCAGAGTTGCTACACACAAAACTAGTCACACAAATCCTTTTTTCCCATTAATCAAGGTTTTGGAGATGAATATGAGACAAACAGTGATTTTACCATCAGCTCTACCAGATTCCACAGAGGGAGAGAGGCCGGGAGCCTGACTGGTAAGAATTCCTTACCCTTCTGCTGGCTTGTCAGGTCCTTGGTTCCCTTCATTGCAGCTTCCAGAAGAGCAGAGCAGCTTTGGTATCCTGTTCACAGCACTAAAACTGGACGGGCCAATGAAAACTTCCCCTTTGTCCTCTGAAGTTTCACTGAAAATCGCTGACAAAAAAGGCAGGTTAATAGGAGAAAAGGCATACAAATTTATTTGATCACAGTTTTACACGTACACAGGACACTTTAGAATGAAGACCTGAAGGGGAGGCTGGGCACAGTGTCACATGCCTGTGACCTCAGCACTTTGGGAGGCTGAGGAGGGAGTATGCCTTGGGGACAAGAGTTTAAGGTCAGCCTTAGGAACAAAGCAAGATTCTATCTGTGCAAAAAATTTTAAAATTAGCCAGGTATGCTGGTCCCAGGAGTTTGAGGCTGCGTGAGCTGTGATTGTGCCACCGAGCTCCAGCTCGGGTGACAGTGTGAGACCCTGTCCCTTAAAAAGTGAATATAAATAAAATAAATAAAAGATACAGGGGAAATTGTCCACTTTTATGCTTAGGTTCAACCGAGTATGGACAGCCATGTAGAAATATGACGGGTCAAAAAAAGAGTATGATCTAATGCTATAGACTGACTGGGAGAAACTCAGCAATGCTGTCTATCTAGATTCTTTTTGACCTCTATGCATTCCTTCCTTCCGGATGTGGGACAGGACCCAGACTGGAATGGGATTCAACAGTCTAAATGTGGGGTAGAAGCCTCTTCGGAATGGGTTTCAACAATCTGGAACAGTCAGTCAAACGAGGCAGGTCAGATCATTTCTTTATGGCGAGTTTTTTTTTGTTTTTTGTTTGTTTGTTTGTTTGTTTTGAGACAGAGTCTCGCTCTGTCGTCCAGGCTGGAGGGCAGTGGTGCAACCTCGGCTCACTGCAAGCTCCGCCTCCTGGGTTCACCCCATTCTCCTGCCTCAGCCTCCCGAGTAGCTGGGACTACAGGTGCCCACCACCACACCCGGCTAATTTTTTGTATTTTTAGTAGAGACGGGGTTTCACCATGTTAGCCAGGATGGTCTCGATCTTCTGACCTCATGATCCGCCCGCCTTGGCCTCCCAAAGTGCCGGGATTACAGGCGTGAGCCACCGTGCCCGGCCTATGGCCAGTTTTTATACAGAAAGGCTGGGAGAAAGAGAAAGTTAGAGTAATATTTTTAGGTTTTGTTGCTGGCTTCTATGACCCACCTTGGGGAAGAGGAATTCTAGTTTCCATGGCTAGCCTCGGGGGAAAATGAGAGGCCAGAGACAGAAGGGCAGGAGAAAGTCCGAGAGGGCACCACCACAGTAAAGATCCAGGGCAGTTCTGCTTCAGAGACCTTCATGTGTGGCTGCCATTTTCTGGGATCCTGGAATAGCCACAGCCATCTGCAAAGGAGGCTGGGCAATGTCATCTTTTGGCTATATGTGCTCAGTAAAAATTTCGGGTTCTGTTTATTTGAGAGAAGAGAGAACAAACATATAGTCAGCAATAAACAGTTTCTGCCATAGAGTCAAAGTTACACAGATTCAGAACTGGAGAAAATGTAGGACTATAGACAGTCTCCAAAGGATGAAATGAGGAAGAAGAGCAAAGAAAAAAAGAAAAGGAGTAGAAACCCCTCTTCGCTTGTTGTTAATACTAACCGGCTAAAGAAAAATTTTTAAAAAGGTTTCAAAGTGAAAACATACTTCTAGCCTCTACAATGTATTCATTGTTCATTAATCTCTTAAAAAGCAAGATGAATTCTGCCAGAGCTACTAAACATTTGTTTTCTACTAAACATGTAGACACTGTTTATTCAATTTATTTAGACAAATGCTTGTAAACAATAATTTAGATAAATTACAGTTATATTAATCATGAGTATCATTTGAAAAAATTTTGTTTGAGACAGAGTCTGGCTCTGTTGCCCAAGCTGGAATGCAGTGGCTCAATCTCTGCTCACTGCAACCTCCACCTCCTCTGTTCAAGTGATTCTCCTGCATCAGCCTCCTGAGAAGCTGGGATTACAGGCCTGCGCCACCACGCCCGGCTAATTTTTGTAATTTTAGTAGAGACAGGGTTTCACCATATTGGCCAGGCTAGTCTGAAACTCCTAACCTCAAGTGATCATCTACCTCTGCCTCCCAAATTGCTGGGATTACAGGCATGAGCCACCGTGCCTGGCCTATCATGCTTATTATAAAAATTAATGATGGTTTAAAATTATGTCTTTGGGGCTGGGCACAGTGGCTTATGCCTGTAATCCCAGCACTTTGGGAGGCCGAGGGGGGGCGTGGATCACCTGAGGTCAGGAGTTCGAGACCAGCCTGGCTAACATGGTGAAATCCCGTCTCTACTAAAAATACAAAAATTAGCTGGGCGTGGTGGCGCATGCCTGTAATCCCAGTTACTGGTTGGTGAGGGGGGTGGAGCGGGGCTGAGGCAGGAGTATCGCTTGAACCCAGGAGGTGGAGGTTGCAGTGAGCTGAGATCGCACCACTGCACTCCAGCCTGGGCAACAGAGGGAGATTTCGTCTCAAAAACAAACAACAACAACAAAAAGAAACACTGCATCTTGGGGAGCAGGAGTGGGAGAAGAAAGGTGGGTTTGATTATGAAAAGACAAGAGTTCCGGGCGCGGTGGCTCAGGCCTGTAATCCCAGCACTTGGGAGGCCAAGGCGGGCGGATTCCCTGAGGTCATGAGTTTGAGACCAGCCTGACCAACGTGGTGAAACTTCGTCTGTACTGAAAATACAAAAATTAGCCGAGCGTGGTGGCGGGCGCCTGTAATTCCAGGTATATAGGAGGCTGAGGCAGGAGAATCGCTTGAACCCGGGAGGTGGAGGTTGCAGTGAGCTGAGACCAGGCCATTGCACTCCAGCCTGGGCAACAAAAGCGAAACTTTGTCTCAAACAAACAAACAAACAAAAAAACAAAAAAGAAAGAAAAGAAAAGAGAAGAGATTTTCAGTGAGACAGAACTGCTCTGTATCTTTACCACGGTGGTGGAAACATGAAACTACACATGCATTAAAATTTCATGAACTAAATATACACACACATACAAATAAAAATGGTGAAAATTTGAAGATTGATGGGTTGTATCAATGCCATTATTTCACTCATGATATTGTATGATAGTTTTGCGAAGTGTTACCTTTGAGGGTACACAGGATTGCTCTGAGTACCCTCAATTTCCTATAACTTCATGAATCTACATGAAGGCTGTAGGTTCCATCACGAAATGGAAAATTTAATTTTAAAAAGTCTCAGCTGATGAAAATGATTCTACAACTATTCGGTTAATTTTTTAAAAATGAAAAGATGTTCAATTTGTAATTATTGTATTGAGAGATCTCTCGCCACTGTTCTTTTGCTACCAGAGCAGATTTTTTTTCATGAAATTATTATGAACTCTTTTTCAAAATCTACCACACAACATACATACTATCACACAAACATTGTTTAACTTTTTATTAGACACTGGGTTAAAAGAGTTTAAATGTGCCTTTTTTTAGTGTAAATGGCAGTATGCTCTGTGTACTGTTCTATAACTTGGTTTTTTCATGTATTTGTCTTGGAGATATTTCCATTTCACTAAATAAATATTCTCATTCTTGCTGTTGCAGAGTATTCCATAACAAATGCATTATAGTTTATTTATCCACTCTGGAATGATAGACATTTACATTTTTTCCAATATATATGCTTTTATTTGCCTCTTCTACACTTATGTGGATTTCTCCAGAGTAGCTATCGAGAAGTTAAATCCCTGGGCTGGGCACGGTGGGTGACTCACGCCTGTAATACCAGCACTTTGGAAGGCCAAGGTGGGTGGATCACAAGGTCAGGAGATTGAGACCATCCTGGCCAACATAGTGAAACCCCGTCTCTACTAGAAATACAAAAGTGAGCTGGGCATGATGGCACATGCCTGTAATCCCAGCTACTCGGGAGGCTGAGGCAGGAGAATCACTTGAACCAGGGAGTCCGAGGTTGTAGTGAGCCGAGGTCACGGCACTGCACTCCAGCCTAGGGACAGAATGAGACTCCATCTCAAAAAAAGTAAAAATAAAAATTAAAAAAAGGAAGAACTTTACCTGAATAAAGGGGCATATGCATATAAAAACTTAATAGATACTGACCTATGGCCCTCCAAAAAAGGCTATAACAGTTTACATTGCTAATGCAGTGTACCCATTTTTTTATATCATCATTTGGTGTCATCAAACCTTTCCATTGTTGACAATCTAATTTGGAAAAATCTAGTATCTTTTTATAAGTAAACTTTTTTGTTGAAGTATAAACATGAATACAGAATAATGCATAAACCAAATGTATGTATAGTTCAACCAATTTTTACAAAGTGATGACTGGGAGAGGTGACTCATGCCTGTAATCCCAGCACTTTGGGATGCTGAGGTGGGCAGATCACTTGAGGTCAGGAGTTCGAGACTAGCCTGGCTAGCATGGTGAAACTCCATTTCTATTAAAAATACAATAATTAGCTGGGCATAGTGGCACATGCCTATAATCCCAGCTACTCAGAAGGCTGAAGCACAAGAATCACTTGAAGGCAGGAAGTGGAGGTTGCAGTGGGCCAAGATTGCACCACTGCATTCCAGCCTGAGACACAGAGCAAGACTCTTTCTCAAAACACAAAACAAAACAAAACAAAACAAAACAAAACAAAACAAACAAAAAAAGTGAGCCTGCCCATGTAACCCTAGCCCATTTGAAGACATGATTATCACCAGCTCAGAAATCTCCATTGCATTCCTACCCAGTACTACTCCTCTCAAACATAACTGATGGCAGCGGCTGCTACCATCACACCAGCTGCAGCAGTGAGGCACCCCTGGAGCTGGGCACTCCTTGGAGCTGGTGGGAGGCCCGCACTTTCTGAGTTGGGGTGGGAGCTACCCAGGTGCCACTGCAGCCCCGCAAACTGCGGCTGTGGACCCAGGCCTCATGCTCTATGGAGCAGGTAGAAGCCCCGCCCTCCTGGGCAGGGCTACAGCTGCCCAAACTATGGCTGTGTATCCGAGCCTCCCTATGCTCTTGGAGGAGGCCAGGAGCAGGCAGGATCTGCCCTCCCAGGTGCAGCTGCAGCCCCCACGACCAACAGCTGCAGACCTGGGCCCAACTGCACGGAGCAGGCAGGAGTTGGGAACAAGCAGGATCCCCGAGTTGGCAGGGTGGGAGCTCCCAGGTGCAGCTGTGGCCACCCTCCCAGACACAGGACCTGGGCATCTCTGCAGCCTGCACCCTCGGGTGGCCAGGAAGCCCCCCTCCCCACAATCCCTGCAGGCTCAGGAGTGTCTGCTCCCACTGCCTGACCTCTCTCCTCTCCCAGCACCTGCTCAGATCTCTCCAAGTGGGGTTGGGCCGAATACCTGGGCCACGAATGGCAGCAGGAGTCAGAGAGTTTGCTGGGCAGAAGGGGGTGGGGTCCCCAGTAAGGCACCACCTTCAGGTCATGGAGGGCCTGAAGGCTGAGAGCCAGGTCACCAGTCCCACACACCAGAGCAGGGACTCCCTGCTGCCTATGGCCACCCATGGACCAATCTGCATGCACTTCTTACCCTATGAGATCCATAAAAGCCGGGGGCTTAGCCACAGGACTAGAGAGGATGGCCAGAGCAGGATAGAGGATGCAGAGGACAGAGATGAGGGGATGACCAGTTGCAGAGAAGAGCTACCATCTGCTGACAGTTTGAGAGGACTGCAGAGACCTGAAAACAACCTGCCTGCAGAGAAGAGCCACCCTCTCCAGGGCCTCCTCTCTGCTGAGAGCAGCAGATGATGGGACAACCAGTGGGCAGAGAGGAGCTACCCTCTCCAGGGTCTCCTCTATGCTGAGAACTGAACACTTGACAGGAGGACCTGCAGAGAGGAGACACCCACTGAGGGTTTCCTCTGAGCTGTTCTAACACTTAATAAAGCTCATCTTCACCTTGTTCATCCTTCTCTTGTCTGTGTACCTCATTCTTCCTGGACACAGGACAAGAACTTGAACAAAGGCGCCACTGGTCACAGAGGTTTCTAGGAAGAAAATCGACAACCCAAAGATCCCATAACATAACTACTGTCTGATGTTCTAATAGTATAAGGCAGTTTTGCCTATTTTTTGAATTTTATATAAGTGAAATAATATAATATGTTCTTTTGTGTATCTTGCTTTAGATCAACATTATATTTGTTTTTGTTTTTGTTTTTGTTTTGAGACAAGGTCTCACTCACTCACCCAGGCAGGAATGCAGTAGCGTGATCACTGCTCACCGCAGCCTTGACCTCCCAGGCTCAAGTGAACTTCCCACCTCAGTTTCCCAAGTGGCTGGAACTATGGGTGCATGCCATCACATCCAACTAAATTTTTTAATTTTTCATAGAGACAAGGTCTCACTACATCACCCAGGCTGGTCTCAAACTCCTGAGCTCAAGCAATTCAACCACCCTGGCCTC